TGCTCATTTATTCCATGTTAAAATGTCTCTTTTTACCAGAAAGTGTTCCCTTATAGTTTCTTCTCTATAATGGCTGTTATTATATTTGAAGAAAATACCCATTGCCCTCTTAATGCACCTCATTTTCAAACTATACATGCTTAGCTGGTTAAGCAGTTACTTATACACATTAGTTTGCCGTAACAAAGTACCACATCCTGGGTGCGGCGAGCAGCAGACGTTGGCTCAGAGGTCTGGAGGCCGGAAGTCCAAGATCAATGCATTGTCGGGATTGGTTACTTCTTGGCCTGCAGATGGCCGTCTTCTCCCTGTGTCTTCACATGATCTTTTCTCCGTGTATGTCTGTGTCATAATCTCCTTTAAGGACACCAGTCAAATTCAATTAGGATGCTAGCGACCTTGTTTTAACCTAATTACCTCCTTAAAGACCCTACTCCAAATGCAGTCACATTCTGCAGTGCTGGGGGTTAGGACTTCAACAAAAGAATTTGGTGGGAGACACAATTCAGCCCATAACGCATATTCTTAAATCGGAACACTCACAAGCAGGCGGATTACTCCACAGATAAGGAGTCAGGCAGGGTGGTCACATTCCTTGCTCTGGACATTACTTTTGAAAGCCCCGGCATATTGACTGACATTGAACTTGCAGTCAACAAGAAATGCCAAGTCTTTAAATGACTTGCTTTTAAGTCACACCTCCCTCCATCTTTTGCACAGATTATTCATTCATTCAGTTATTCATTCACTGAATCTGTCCTAAGCACCTGCTACTTTGCAGGTTCGCACAGACACTGGGGATTGCAGCAAGGAAACAGGCAGGCAGTGTCCCTGCCTTCTTTGGAGCTTAAATTATATCTTTGAAGGGTTTCATAAGCAAGTGAACAAACAAATCTATAATTATAAATTGATATGTACTATAAAGTGAATGGACATATGAGAGGCATCCTACTTTTGATAGTTTTGGGGGAGGTGGCCAAAGTGCAGCGTTTGGAATAAAATACTA